TTTTGTTCTTTATCACATAATTTTCTTTTGTTATTTCTCATAATGTTTGTGATATAAATGTAATAAAAGTTATTCTATTCCAATATTATATCTTTCCCTTTTTTTATTTGCACTTTAAAGCTCTTTACTACATAAATAATAAAAACTTTCATTGGTTGAACTTATTTCGGCTGGCTTTCAATATGTATTTATTTGCTTGTCTATACAATATTTAAACCACTAACAGAAAAGACTAAGTAGGTATGTTTGAGAATAAATATATTGTCGAGAAAAATTTCGTAATTTTGGGACTACGAGGTAACTGCCTACGTGTGTACCTACTAATGTAGTTAGTATAGACTATTTATGTAGGTTTTAGCCTTATGTGCCGTGCCATATTTTCTAGCGTATCTACATATATTTATATATTAATATCGGACTAACTTTACTTTAGGACCGACTAAGTCTAATAAACTAGACCGAATAAACTTAACTAGATCAATTAATAATGTGAAACATGAAATAGTTTTGAAGTTTTCTCTAAACACAAAGTTCTGCGCCCCTTCAACAGTTTTAGGGTAAGTCACGTGCCAAAACATGTATTAAATAAGTCCGTTTTCATCGGAATTTGATCCTTATTACACCGGAATAAATTAAGAAGTATGTACAATAGTGTACATTCATATAAGCCGAATAATTAATTTGTACCCTACGATAGCAATTAATTTATAGTACGAGGGAAAAATAATGTGAGTTATTACTGTAAGTTAGAGTTGCAAGCTAAGTATGAAATGTCGATAAGTCTATCGATAGTAAAAAAAAATAAAAAAATAAATAAAAACTTTATTTGTAGCCAATTACAATAGTGCATAGACAAAATGAAACGTTAATGACTGCAGTCTGTAGTCAAAGACTGTGTCGCAGTCATTAGCGCCTTCCTCTAATACAGACGCTATAAATAAACAATTTAGGTTACTAATAAATAACTTAATACTTATTTAGCTTTAACTGAATACCTACATGAATTGAATATGAGATGAACTTACAATAACAAAAGAAAACCAACATGTGTGTGTGTGTGTGTGTGTGTGTGTGTGTGTGTGTGTGTGTGTTATAGTTTCATTCCATAGTACCTAAATGGCTGTTTTTTAGCCGGATATCGATATCATAGTCCTACATACTGTTAATTACAAGAGTTATCAAAATCATCCTTAGGACTCGAGTCCGGTGTACCTACCGGGAAAACGCGGTAAAACCCAACTGACAGCTCCGAGCTGTCAAGATGACAGATTTTATTTGAACGTCTTGTCACAACTCCATGGTTAAGGAAACAGCTATCAATACAAATGTAATATATATCTTTAGTATTGATTTAAGCCAAATGACGTTCACTGCTGGACAAAGGCCTCCTCCAAGGTTTTCCACAATGCACGGTCCTGCGCTGCCCGCATCCAGGCTCTTCCCGATGATTTAAATGATTGCTCTATCAATTTTATTGTATATCTACTATCGATAGTATTTTAACTGTTCTTAAAGGTTATCGATAGTTTTGCAACACTACTGTAATGTAAGTTAATGTACGTCGCTTAATTTTGGGGTTCATAATATACGGTCCTACATTGAATACGTAGGTGCTACTAATCGCATATTCTTTGGAAATTATGTAATTAACTACATTTGATATTTCTTTTTATTTAACTATACCGACAGCTGCTTGTTTTGCTTCGAATAGATTTATTTAGGTCTGTTATGATAATTATACATCGGTTGTCTCATTACAGATTGTAGTCCTCAATGTTATGAATAACCTTTATTTATCTACAACTTCAATATTTAAATATTTTTATTTAGATTACACATTTATCTTCATGTCTTATCATCAAAGGCAAAACGGTAATATCCATTTGGGACATTTTGGTATTTGAAGCTAACTTTAGCGTCATATTTTTTTCTTATAATTTAGTATTATTTCCTAAATTACTCGAAATTAGTAAACATTCAAATTAACTAATACTCACATGGCTCAGTGTTACCTGCTGGACTACGAGGTATCGACTTTAATACAGTTCGACTCGGAGGTTGCGGGATCAAGTTGGGACTTGAACAGGTATATTTTACAGTTTTTGTGCCCTACCTGGGGGTAGGGCACAAAAACTGTAAAATATACCTGTTTGTTGTCAACTCGGGACACTCCAGGATTGAATCAGAATAACGTATATTAAATAGCATTTTAACTAACTAACTAGCCTTAACGGGACGTCATTCACCTGCCTATATATACTTATATTTTCTACACTACCTCATGATTGACATTTGATAAATATTTTAAATAAAAAAATGTATTAGATGCCTAAGGCCCGATTCCACCAATTTTTTATCCGAGAATAACTCCTGGTATAACTGGCACATTGACAGTTTCAGTATGGGAAATAATATGTCAAATACATAAATGACACGATTTATTCTGAGATTAATATTTACTCTTGTTTGGTCGAATCCACCCTAAATATAGCAGCTACGAAAATGTGACACGTATGCCAAATTCATTAGGTCTATAATTAAAATTACGGAAATCCGCTCTGAAACTTTTTAAAACCTATTTCCGATACAGAATTTCGCGTATCAAAGAGCCTTAATGGCGGAGCAAGTCGACCTAATTTATAATGCTTTAGCTGAATTTTATCTAGACTGGAACAGGCGAATTACGGCTGCCCGGAAACCGGGCTGAAAGGACCGATAACTTTGGCCTGCCCTGTATTTTTACCTTTTAGCGCAACCCAAATAAGGTAAGGTTATTTTATAAATAATAAATTATTATTGGCTTTCAGTTCGATAAACATTTACCAATTTGTAACGTAAATATTCATGTAGAAGTTAGGTATATTTATATTTATAGTGTAAGCAAGAAAATGTGTGTTTGTTACTGGGTACTTTAACAACTATTTGACGAATTTCATAAACTAATATTAACATAAATGCTATAAATAAGTGACATTGAATTAAACTTATTTCAAAAATAAATTCATAAATTACCCCCAAAGGGATTCAAACCCGTGACCGTATCTACCTTATTATCGATGAAGTAAACAAACACACCAAATGTTACATGTTAGAATCATAATTTTATAATACTGTTTAACCTCCCTGTTACCTGAAGCTAATTTTTTCAATTCTACAAAAAAAAATATTATTAAAAATTATATTTTTATTAACTTCAAAACAGTATAGAGCACTTCATAAAATATAACCTTTACAAGGTGCACTAATCTCCGGTTTGAACTTGATATGAAAAGTTCGTAGTAGAAAATGAGCGAACTAGTACTTTCAGAAACTGGGGGTATAATACCTAAATCGTTGTACAAAGTTAATTTCCAAACCCACCACTAACCTAGTACCGTAGTCGCACAAATTAAACAATATAAATGGGAACTATATACCAATTTATATCACCTGTTCTCTATCTGGAGCGGCAGAATTAATGTACGGCCGGAGGACTGACGGACGCGCCGGGCGACCGATAACTTAGGCCTTTTAAACCTAAGGGATATTTATGGTGGGAAATCTGTATAATCTATTCTAATATTACGGGTATAGAGAGGAAAGATCGGATTGTTTGTTTGCATTGAAGGCTCTGATTCTTCTGGACCGATTTGAAAAAAATATTTTACTGTTAGAATCCTATATCATCGCTGATAGACATACGCAATAGAATAATTCCAAAAAGGTTCCATTCCAAGCTTTTTTGTTATACACAACTTTTTTTAAACTTTTTTTTTATATTTCTTGCAAATAAAAAGTTTTCTATTCTATTCTAACGAGGAAACTCTTGGCCTGCATCTCACCTAATGGAAAAATGAAATAAATTAGGTATTTACTCTGGTATATTTATTTCAAATGCGGACATTTGACACCTCATATCACACTCCGAGACAGCTTTTTAATTTTTAGACAGTTATCTGGTCTTATTTTAATGTTGGACTAAATCAAGTGGTTGTTGGTTCATTTCCAATAGGATACCCGAAGTCATGGACGGTCGTAAATATAAAGATAAGTCGTAGTAATCACTGTTTGAGCCATCGGTGTATGAGTACATTATTATGTCATGATCATTAAAGTTTACGTGTGAAATAAGTATATACCTAATATCATTTTATCACAAACTGTAGGTACTAAAATGATGACCTAATTCTCGGAATTGTTCTCACAGTTTTTGTGACATTATAACTAAACGCTGCTAAATTAAGTTCTCCGAAAATTAAATTAGGCGCAGTCTCATTGTCTTTGTAAATTAATAGTGTTCCTATTACACATTTAACCTAAAAATAAAATGCAGCTACGTCATTTTTCTTGGGACTGGGTAATGTTTGTAACATCACGAAATGTAGTAGTAATTTAGATAAACACTAACAAAATGCAAACACAAAACCACTGTCTAATATACCCTGGCCATAGATGCTATGAAAGTTTTAATGAAACTTCAACAAAAACTAACAGAGTGGAAGAAAGCAGGAAAATATTGAGAGCAAAAGTGTAAGAAAAACTTCAGTCTTTCAATAGCTTTGAAAACGGGAGCTTTCGATAAAAATGCATATAAACAACTTTTTAAAACTTCCGCTGCGCTGCTTCGCGCCCGACGGTCGTATTATAAAATTTTATAAAACTATTGGTTGCTGTTTCACTCTACTATCATATTGAATAGAAAACAAAACGAATAAAATTCAGTTTATTCTTGTACCGTAGTGTTTGCGAATTGGTCGAAAATGAAATATGTATGAAGCATTTACGCTATAAGTTTTTATTCGGAAGAGTATACGTATGTTTATTTAATATTTTCAGTCTTTTTTGTGCATAACAAGGCATGTATTTGACCACAGTCGCACCTGGTGTCACTTAACCAGGATGGAGTCTAATCTGCCCTGTTAGTGCCTATTCAATTTCAAAAACTTAATTCGGTAATAATTAATTCATAAATTGAAAATACACAATAAATAAAATCGGTTAAAACAATTGAAACGACTTACCTTCAACGATGTTATAAACACAAATATTAACTTCTTCTGGAACTCACGAGTTAGTTTTAAATTAGTCCGGGTATATTTATTTCAAACACACTGTCTCTTCGAAAATCCATTGCGTTAAAACAATTCACTTACGGAATACCCATTTGAAAATCAAAATAGTGCGGAGCATACATACATACTCTCGGTAACACGTGACAGTCTGTAACGTAGTTCGTGATCGCGAGCAAAATTCGTGGCAGGCGTTCGCTCGCCACCGCATCTACGGCACGACTGAGCTTCAAAACGCCGGTAAGCGCTGTGAAACTTAACGAATACAGGGGCACTGGATAAGGCATCTGAAAGTTTCACGCTTCAGAGCTTTTGGACGCGATAAGTAATTGGAATTGGCTCTTTGATAAGATACTTTTTGTTTAAAATTAAGATAGGAAACAAATGAAGAATCAATTTCAAAAATTAACAGTAAAATGTACGATAATTTTATTCAATAAATAACAACATTTTGACTGCAATACGCAGATCAAATTGATTGCAAACACTTAAAAATACTCGCACGTAAGTTTGAACGATTTCACAACTACCGCAGACCACTGCGAATCAATTTACGAACAACCATATTCCGTAGGTAAACGCGATTAATCTGTAAAACGAAAATGAAATTTTTGTACTCGATGTATATTTCATTTGTTTGTGATGTTACCGGAGGCAGACCGCTCGTGTATATTTCAGCGCTCATTTCAGGCTGTGTGCACGCGGCTTTATGTTAATATTTAACTACAAGATTAAGGCCCTTCCAGTAAACTATGAGCGAAAGCTAAACGATTGAACGTTTAAATATGGAAATAGTCTTGAAAGTTAGAATTAAAATCGAATTACGATGTTGAATTAATTGTAGTTAATATTATATCCGATTGGACAAATGATGATTTCATAAACCTTTGTAGTACAAGTTACGTACCATGTAAAATGTTAAACTTTATTTTTTCCTTTTTAACATTGACAAATTCAGAAAAAACTGCTTTATAATAATATAATAATAATAATAAAAATCTTTATTTGGCACGGGACAAAAAAATGACAATTACAAGTGTAAAAAAGTACATAAAGAAGAAAAAAAAATAANGGATATCTACCCTGAACCTGAGCCCACTCCAACTTGTCAAGGAGATACTTTGGCTTTAAATTGGACAGTATACCAAACATCATTGTGGCCAGGTGAAGTCTCCGACGAGCAGCCATTTTTAGCAAATGGCAATGCCAGATTTTGTATGGAAAGTGGCGTCTTTTTTTTTTCGCGCGGCCATCGACCAAACTTTGTTTTTTGATTACAAAATAGTGTAATAAACCAAACTTACTATGGCATGTATACCTCTAAACGCAGTCTGAACTGAGTTACGAGCATTAGAAGTTTGATGATTTTCATACTAGNAAAGGAACCCCGAAATGCAACAGTGCGGTGCTTGGGCGTGGCAAAGATGTGAGTGCACAACCTCCTAGGATATCTACCCTGAACCTGAGCCCACTCCAACTTGTCAAGGAGATACTTTGGCTTTAAATTGGACAGTATACCAAACATCATTGTGGCCAGGTGAAGTCTCCGACGAGCAGCCATTTTTAGCAAATTTGCTGAGTTTAAAAAGGGGGTAACGTGTGTTCTAGGAGGTATTGTGAAGCAAAAGCGGGCACATGCATTTTGAACTCTCTGAATGAGACGAACAGATCTAGTCAACAGGCAAGGGCCATAAACTGTATCACAATAATTAAGTTTGCTTAGTATAAGTGACTCGCATAGAGAGATTCTAAGGCTTTCAGTTATGTATGGTCTCAGCTTATACAGGAGCTTCAGCCGGTNGGGATATCTACCCTGAACCTGAGCCCACTCCAACTTGTCAAGGAGATACTTTGGCTTTAAATTGGACAGTATACCAAACATCATTGTGGCCAGGTGAAGTCTCCGACGAGCAGCCATCTTTAGCAAATTTGCTGAGTTTAAAAAGGGGGTAACGTGTGTTCTAGGAGGTATCGTGAAGCAAAAGCGCGCACATGCATTTTGAACTCTCTGAATGAGACGAACAGATCTAGTCAACAGGCAAGGGCCATAAACTGTATCACAATAATTAAGTTTGCTTAGTATAAGTGACTCGCATAGAGAGATTCTAAGGCTTTCAGTTATGTATGGTCTCAGCTTATACAGGAGCTTCAGCCGGTNCTCGGGTGAATCGCCGAACATCGCACTCGCGCCACACATAATCTGTGGCAGACGACACGAGCGACTCCGAGCGAGGAACTCTGCGCAAAAAGAAATAAAAAAATAAAAAAAATAAAAAAAAAACGCGTCGCGTGTCTCTGCACTCTTTGCTGCTCTGTCTGTGCCTCATCCCTGACCGCGTGCTAGCTACCACGTCAAATATTACACGTAATTAAACGTGGTTTGTGGTTATGGAAGATGAATTACTGTAATTGGGACAAAGTATGTGAGTGAAACCAAAAATGTGCACAGCAAGACAAGACAAAGCACCGCCCAAGGCGTAAAGAAGAAATGATGTCCCTTCCTCCCACCTTCTACAGTTTGTTGGTCGGAATTGGACGGTGTAAATTGACCTCGTGAGGAAGCGTTTGACGATGCTGCATGCGTGATGCGCAAAAAAAGACGGTGAGATGGCTACTATGCGTTAGTTTTTTAAAAAAGTCGAGAGCTAAAACTAAAACTTCAAAATTTTAAAATTGCAGGGCGCACCCATTATCAAGGCGTACCCACTGGTGTGTGGTGAAGTGACAGTCATGAACATGCATTAATCTCGGCCCATTGCGGCCCACCAGTGCCGGAGCAAACCCATTATGCCCCTTCTCGCGTCGCGCTTGCCTTAAATGTAAGTTAACTATGCTGTAACTGTTGTGCTTGTGTCAAGTGTTTTTTAAAATTGTTCTTAAAGGTATTCCTTGTCTTTAGGGCGCGCAGTGGTGGGGGCAGGTCGTTCCAGCATCGGGACGCCGCGAAACGAAAGGAACCCCGAAATGCAACAGTGCGGTGCTTGGGCGTGGCAAAGATGTGAGTGCACAACCTCCTGGGATATCTACCCTGAACCTGAGCCCACTCCAACTTGTCAAGGAGATACTTTGGCTTTAAATTGGACAGTATACCAAACATCATTGTGGCCAGGTGAAGTCTCCGACGAGCAGCCATCTTTAGCAAATTTGCTGAGTTTAAAAAGGGGGTAACGTGTGTTCTAGGAGGTATTGTGAAGCAAAAGCGCGCACATGCATTTTGAACTCTCTGAATGAGACGAACAGATCTAGTCAACAGGCAAGGGCCATAAACTGTATCACAATAATTAAGTTTGCTTAGTATAAGTGACTCGCATAGAGAGGTTCTAAGGCTTTCAGTTATGTATGGTCTCAGCTTATACAGAAGCTTCAGCCGGTAAAAACAAGTTCTGGCACACTCGAGCACGTGACTCTCAAACCTAAGTCTACTGTCAACAATCAGACCCAGATTACGTGCTTCCGAAACCTGCTCCATTTGCTCTCCGTTTATTGCAATGTTGAGGTGAATATCTTTGAGTTTTTCCAACCCTTTTGGTGAGCCTGTCAGCATGAATTTGGATTTTCTGGGATTAAGCACGAGGCAGTTGGAAGTGCACCAGTTGGAGATTCTACTCAGCTGATTATTGACTTTGGACACGGCAGCAGCAGAGTCTGATGGTGGGAACGATATGTATAGTTGTAGGTCGTCAGCGTAGAGGTGGTATTGGCAGTCAGTGATGTGGTTAATTATGTCCGCGCTGTATAAAATATATAGAATTGGGCCTAGGATGGATCCCTGGGGGACTCCGCGGGTGACTGGTTTGCGTTGTGATATNACAATAATTAAGTTTGCTTAGTATAAGTGACTCGCATAGAGAGGTTCTAAGGCTTTCAGTTATGTATGGTCTCAGCTTATACAGAAGCTTCAGCCGGTAAAAACAAGTTCTGGCACACTCGAGCACGTGACTCTCAAACCTAAGTTTACTGTCAACAATCAGACCCAGATTACGTGCTTCCAAAACCCGCTCCATTTGCTCTCCGTTTATTGCAATTTTGAGTTGAATATCTTTGAGTTTTTCCAACCCTTTGGGTGAGCCTGTCAGCATGAATTTGGATTTTCTGGGATTAAGCACAAGGCAGTTGGAAGTGCACCAGATGGAGATTCTACTCAGCTGATTATTGACTTTGGATATGGCAGCAGCAAAGTCTGATGGTGGGAACGATATGTATAGTTGTAGGTCGTCAGCGTAGAGGTGGTAGTGGCAGTCAGTAATGTGGTTAATTATGTCCGCGCTGTATAAAATATATAGAATTGGGCCTAGGATGGATCCCTGGGGGACTCCGCGGGTGACTGGTTTGCGTTGTGATATAAATACAGTACCGTCTGTTTTTTTTAGCTCCACATACTGCTGTCTCTGCGTCAGGTAGCTGTGAAACCATTGCACTGAAGTTCTGTCAAGACCATAAAAACTCAATTTTGATAGCAGCAAACGAATGTTTATGGAGTCAAATGCGCGCGAGAAGTCCAGCAGCATCAACAAGGAGACCATTCCCCTGTCTTGGCTGGCCAAAAGGTGATCAACAACATCCGAAAGGGCGGTTGCTGTACTGAAGCCCTTGCGGAATCCCGATTGACGTTGTGGAAGTATGTCCTCTGTCTCAAGGTATTTGGTCAGCTGGTCACATACTATACGTTCCAAGATTTTAGAGAGGCATGGCAGAATGCTAATGGGCCTGAGCTCATGGACTGTTGTTGGATGGTTGATTTTTGGCAGAGGCTTCACGACTGCTATTTTCCAGCACTCAGGGAAACTGCCCTCAAGTATAGAGCAGTTTACTATGTCAGTGATGGCCTCCAGCGAGTAAGGAAGAGTGAGCAGTATCATGTCCAGGGTGACACCATCGCATCCCTGGGCGTTCGATTTAAGTGCTGTGATGGTTTTTAGAACTACATCTGAATTCACAGTCTGAAGTGAGAAGGATGTAACACTATTGTATCTGTGAAATTCATAGTAAGTTAGTTGAGAGATTGTCACACTGTCCTCACCAGGCACATCAAGGAAATGATTGTTGATGGAGTCGGGGTCATTAAACAGTAAAGGGAGTTCACAAGCATCTTTCTTGTTCGGTAGAACTGTGCTTTTTAAATTCTTCCAGAGCTGTTTTGAATTTTTAAGGTTACTGTTTATGTGTTTATTGAAAAAGCAAGTTTTTTCTCTTTCTATAGCATCTGATACTAGTTTCTTCATCACTCTATAACTGTCCCGTAGAGTAGCGGTAGCTGTCTTCTTAAATTGTCTATGGTAATTCTCCCTGACATGCATCATCTCTCTGATTGTGTCCGTTATCCAAGGGTGGGGGGGATGCTTGAATTTACGTGTTTTTATTGGGGCGTGCAGATCTATCAGCCCTCGAATACACCCCGTAAATGCCTCAACTCTAGCGTCTATGTCCCCGACACCTCTGAGGTTCGACCAGTCAATTTTACTAAGGTCTGAGTCAAAAAGATGCTGCATGATGCCCTTCAGTGGCCTGTAGGTGACCCAGTGGGGTTTCGCTGTCTCCCTCCTGACCCTGAGCTCCGCCATGAGCATGGCGTGGCCTCCCAGATCAGGTGATTGTCTCACAATAACCCTAAGAGCCTTTATGTCGGTACATATTACATCAATAAGAGTTGAGCTGTGTGCTGTGTAATGTGTTGGCTCGGAAACCAGTTGCTTCAGGTTGAGGCTGTGCATACAATTTATGAGATCCCTACACTTGCCACCATGCCCGTCCAGCAGGTTGATGTTGAAGTCTCCAAGAATGACCAGTCCATCAAACCCGGTGAAGGAGGCAATTGTCTCAGCGATGGCATCCAAAAACACATTCACGTCCTGCCATGGAGGTCTGTAAGCTGTACCAATAGCAATTTTCTGATTATTTAGACGCAAGGAGACCCACATTTGCTCAACAGTAGAAAAAGTGGCAGGATGTGGACAGGTCCTCACGTTTAGCCCCTTGCGTATGTAGAAACCGACCCCACCACCGCGCCCTCCTCTAACTTGGGTAGGTCTCGGAGTATGCCTTAGACGGTAACCTGATAGTTTGGGTGCCCTATCCTCCTCCCCCGTCCTGAGCCACGTCTCGTTTATCGCCATTACATCAGGGTTAAGTTCCTCCATAGCCATGATAAACTCCTCGTGTCCTGTGCTCAGTGAACCTGCATTGAATAGACCTACTGTTAGATTTTTTAACCCAAGGCCTTTAATATGTATAGACTAAAAATATACCATTGTATTGTAATATATGTAGAGTTAGTGTAGTTAAGTTCAATCTGGAAAATGTATGATAGTATGTTGTAGATAATGCCATGTTTATTACTCTGTATGTATGTAGGTTTTGTAAGTAAATGAGTGTGGGGAGACCAAACATAGATTGTCTGCGTTTCACTTAAACAATTACTTTGTTCGATTATTATACAGGTGAGCATACCAACTAAGGAGGAATATATGAAATTATTAATATTTATATGACCTAAAAACACGCCAATAACCACTGAACTTTGACATTTACAGTGCAAAAAGAGTCATTCACTCGGAGCGCCTAATACTCTGATGAGGTCGTCGGGCTCTCGCAGCTGAAAGACCTGCGCACCGTCGCTCCTGCGGACGAAGACACGCCCCCGCCTCGTCCAGCAGTACCTCCACTGGCGGGCGCGGCACTCCTCGCGCGCCCGGTGGAACAGCTGGCGGTTGGGGCGCGTCAGGCGCTCGTTCACGAACACCCGGCCGCTCCCCTCCGGCACCCCGCGGCGCACGCGCGCGGCCTGCAGCAGCTCGTCGCGCAGGCGGCGCCGCGCCAGCCGCACCACCACGCGCCGCGCGCGCCCGCCCGCCTCGGCCGGCGGCNCGCGGCCTGCAGCAGCTCGTCGCGCAGGCGGCGCCGCGCCAGCCGCACCACCACGCGCCGCGCGCGCCCGCCCGCCTCGGCCGGCGGCGCGCCCACGCGCTCCGCGAACACCACGTCCCGCTCGTCCAGCGCCACGCCCAGCCGGCTGGCGAGCACCGCGACGCTGTGCACGACGCTCTCCCCCTTCCATACTACTACTACTCCCCCCTACATACTCATAATATGCCTAACTTTCCTTCAAGTTTTAATTTCTAATGAAAAGGCAAAACAATTATAGTTTCTGATATTCAACTATTTTAGTTTTTACGAATAAAATAGTTCAATTGCCTAATTCAAAGTTGTTTTTCCGTTTCTTCGTTGTTAGAACAGTGTGACTTCAGGGAGTCAAAAAACGACCTATTGACAATTAAGAGTTAACCTTACAGACGCAATTAAAGATTAGCTTTCTCTACTCAGACAGGCATAGACTAAAGCTGTAGAGATGGCATAGGCAACAAACTAAAATAGAATTAAAACTAAATAAAGAAAGTATCAAGCCATATCATGCGCATAAGCGCCATATCAATATTCATAGAAATAAAAATTTGCTACGAGTTACGAAAATTCTACTACGGCGTAGCTACGGACTACGGATCTACGAGGAGAGTTCGAAAACTGGCAAACTTGCAAACAAACTTCGTATGCACAGTAAGGAAATAACTTTGAATATTTGTTGCAAAATCGTTCCTTTTAAAAATATACAAGGTGTCACAGTGTTATCTTGTGAAACTCGAACCATCCCAACTAATATTATAGATGCGAAAGTAACTCTGTCTGTCTGTCTGTCTGTCTGTCTGTCTGTCTGTCTGTCTGTCTGTTACGCTTTCCCGCTTAAACCTCGCAACCGATTTTGATGAAATTTGGCACAGAGATAGTTTGAGTCCCGGGAAAGAACATAGGATAGTTTTTATCCCGGTTTTTGAAACAGGGACGCGCGCGATAAAGTTTTTCTGTGACAGACAAAATTCCACGCGGGCGAAGCCGCGGGCGGAAAGCTAGTATAATAATAAATCCAAAGCGCAAAAAAACTTATGTTGCCGAACTTATACCAATATAAATCGTTAGCGACATCTAACTTACTTTACGTTAAGTTAAAAAAATATAACGAACCCATTACCTACCTATTAGAAAACTACATAATTAACTAAGTAAGTGTTATTGAAAACCCCAGGTACACAAGCTATAGTCAATAAAACGTATTATCTATGTAGGTACAAGATCTATAAAAAACACAGTAGCGGCGTAAGGGCCGGTGGGTGCCAAGCATCAGGGGGTGACACAAGTCGCGCAGATTAGTACTCACTGGCGCATCTGCATGGCAAGTCTGCGGTCTACTTATATCATGATACGGGGGGGAGGGGGGGCGATTGTCTTTCAATCTTCGAATCGGTAGATAAAACTCCAAAATTCTGGGGGGTACCAGGGGGTGCCTTAGGACTTATGACGGGGGGAGGGGGGTGATCGCCCCGGGTGCCAACCCATGCTACGCCGCCACTGAAAAAACATTGCTGAGTATAAATCAAAAGGGCGTCGTACCCTTTACCCGTCTGCGATTACAATCCAATACGTTAAAAATAAACTCCAAACTCGAGTGCCCTTGGAAAAACACAATTACAAGAAAGCCAATGTTTCACAAATTCACGATTCCACACACGTCTCCTGCTACAAACGTAATAGCAATGTTACCGCGAATGAGATTTCGTTGCTTTGTTTAGGACAAAGGGGTCGTAGGATTTAATAATTTAAAGTTTGCTTTCATAATTAAATACTTGTATTATATCGTTTGCGTCTATCCATATGGAAGGGGAATGAACATAACATTTCCTCATTGTTTGCATTCCATTTCCACGTAGCTTATAAAATGAAATTTACTTTCATTTGTAGATCTTGTAAGTACCTACTCATTATTTACAAGATCTTCAAAATATTAATAAATCTGTAACAGGTACCTACTTAATCTCTTTCTCTTTTATAACATTCAATTTGACTTGTGTTCATTATGAACCAACGGACACATAGACCAAATCAACTCTACGTGTTACCTTTTACTTAACTAACCTACTTAAATATTTATTATTTACTCACCTAATTACCTACCTACACATTGCTCACTATAAGAAAAAAGGCCAGTTTTTTACTCTTGTTATTTGTTGTTGAACTCATTACAATGTCGTACTTCCGTTCATCCTGTAAAATTGTTACCGTACTACCCAGTAGGTAATCAAGTACGATGTGGGTTTTTCTTTGAATCTAAAATTGGATTTTGACCTGAGCTTGTATATTTTCCGTCCTTCCTTTCCGAAATAATCAGATTAAATGATCAAAAAGGTTCCAAAATATTCCAGAAACGGGATTTTTTCGTTTAGAATTAGCTGAACTTCGGCTACTGAAACGAGTGAATGAAACAAATAGGTAAGTACTTAATGTCTAAGAAACCTGATAGAATCAGGAACGCAGAATTATAAGTTCACTTTAAAACGTTTACAGTTTCAACCCCGACTGAAGTTCAGTTAGGCTTTCAGATTTCCGTTGATCTCTTGCTTATAGCAGTGGACTCTTCTGCGGTCTCTATAGTCTTTGAGATGAACGGCGTTAGCTGTGCTAAGAGTCGACATTCGATATTTTGATGTCGGGCATAATTATAGCTCTTTGGAGGAAAGGACTCGGATAACTTAGCTTTATCCGTAGATGGTTGGTTGCTTCACGTAATCACATTTTCTTTTAGAACAATAAGGCTTTCTCAAACCTGAAAAGTAGTAGGTGAGACCAAGGAGAGTTGTGACATTGTCCGTTTTTGAAAAACTATTATTCATTTATCGTATATGGCGCACTGTTACGAGCTCGCTAGTAAGGCTGAGTTGCACCACCTTATTTTAACTGTAACAATGACAATAACAAGTGATTTTTGTATTGAGTTTGACAGATTTTTGACGTTTGTCAAAGTTAAAGTAAGATGGTGCAACTCAACCTAAGAATGTTTTAGGTATATAAGTTTGCTTACATTGCAGCTACAAAATTTTCTATTTTCTATAACAACAACCACTGTTTAAAAGCTGCGCACGTGACATTGGCGGAATAGTGTGCCCTCAGTGGCGAAAAAACGCAAGTTCATCGCCATAAACCAAAGAAGAAGAAGAAGAACCTAAGAATCGACAAAGAATTCCACAATGTCACAACTCGCCTCTGTTACAACTCGCCTCGGTCTCCCCTAATTAAACTGAGAACAAATACATATTGTTTTATCTAATCTAAATGACCATTTATTAAACATTAAGGTAAATTTCGTACTTGTTAGGGCCATGCTAAGCCTACGGCTTCTTAAACGTCTGACATCACGATGACCTTTGTTGTCTCTAGATACCCACACGATAGAAGAAAGCATTACCTATAACGTTTATTTATTTATTTAAAGACTTTATTTGATTTAAATAATGATCATAAGAAATGATTTATCATAATAAGTCAAAATACTTAAAAAATATTCCAGATTAAATAGTTTTTACTTGACTGAATTAAATTCTAAATCGACGACCTGGGTATTAAAGTCAAGTGATGTCTTATGTACTATTAATGACATACCTACATTTCACTAAATAAAATTATAGTTAGTTACTAATACCTATTATTTATGAAACCAATAACAGAGCAGGCCGCGGCCGCTTACAACCGGTCATTTTTCAACACATCATTGAAAGAGGCCTATGTTCAGCAGACGTCCTGTGGCTGAATGATATTATTAAAATCGATATAAGTAGGTACTCGTAGTTTCATATCTATCCTTTAATTTAGATCGAGTGTAGTTCCTATCTACTTATCGAACAAAACCATTAATCGAACTATGTCATTGTGTCATGTTTACCATTTATTCCGAACTCGGCTGCCCTTTCGTTAATATTTCATATGAACTAATAACTATCGATCCAGCCATCAAATCAACTGTCCCCGGGGACGTGTTCCTATTTCCCACTTAGGTATATTCCCGAATTTTTATTTCCTGTGCCGTGCTGTTCATCCCTGGGGTGTCTTTGTGATTGATATGTGGAATTAGAGTGAATAATGCACGAAGTGGTGGATAAAAGGATAAATGTTATTAAGCAGAAGTGGGGAAAATGTGTTAAACTTTAAGCTGTATGTTTTCCAAATAAAGAAAATAAAATGACATATGCATTTTTTTTTATGTGATAGGAGGCAAACGAGCAGACGGATCACCTGATGGTAAGTGATTACCGCCGACCGCCGTCGCCCATAGACACCCACAGACCCAGAGGCGTTACAGGTGCGTTGCCGGATAATACATAACATGAACGTGATATAATGCTTAATTCAATTCAACATACCTACATCTGTTTCCGCAATTTATTACACCGATCTTGTCGCGACAAGGAAAAATTTCCGTGCTTTTAAGCGATTTTGTGAAAATATTATTGGCAGGTACTTAGTTGCTAATTGCTCATAAGATAGGCCCCCTTAATTTAATTTATTGTCTGTGGTGCATAATCT